TCTCTGTCTGTCCCTCTCTGTCTGTCTCTCTCTGTCTGTCTCTCTCTGTCTGTCTCTCTCTGTCTGTCTCTCTCTGTCTGTCTCTCTCTGTCTGTCTCTCTCTGTCTCTCTCTCTCTGTCTCTCTCTCTCTCTTTCGCTCTCTCTCTCTCTCTCTGTCTCTCTCTCTCTCTCTCTCTCTCTGTCTCTCTCACTCGGGCTCCCACTCTCTCTCCGACTCCCACCGACTCCCACTCTCACTCCCACTCCCACTCTCGCTCTCACGCTCTCACTCGCTCTCTTTTGTTCTTGACCACGTTTCCTTCCTCCTGCTCCTGCTCGCACTGCTTTGCGGGTTCGCACCTAATTGCCTGAGATCGACGTCGTCATCGTCGAGGTTGTCGTCGACTCCTCCTTGTCGTGATCGTCCTCCGTTCTCCTAATCGTAACAGCGAAAACGCTTGTCGTCTGTCGATAGAGTCATGCTGTTTCTCATCGCCATCGCCATGCACACGGTAATGGTAATCGGCATCATGGGCCGGGCCTGATTGATATTTCACGCTGATGTTGTATCCGTTGTGCAGCTTCATAAGAGCCCAGAGCACTACACGACTCGGTGCATCCCGCACCCAGACACCTTGGCTTCCGACACACCTGTCCAACCTCAAGTCCCACCTTTCGGGGCCCTGCTTCCTGAAATATTCGAGACTCGAAACCACAAGTTGGCTGCCAAGCCACGCCGGGCCTTCTCGAACACCGCAGTGGCCAGTCAAGCAGCCGCTTGTGAATCATGTCACCCTCCGGACCCACACCACCCCTGAAAGCCAAAGCAAGGAGAAGCGTGAGGAACGCCGAGGGGACAAGCCGTCGCCAGACGACGAGGGCAAGCTCTGCTCCCGGCTAGGGACTTCGGGGTTTCGGGAGTCGTGGTGAAGCCCGGGATACTAGTAGCATCATGGCTGTGTCTAAGATTGTCATTCAGATATGGCTCTGTTGACGATGACTGCGCATCGTCATGTTGCGGCTGTTGCAAAGGTTCGCACAAGTGGCGCTACCATTTTAGTCGTGCTCGTTTACATACACATGGTGGATTTATCTCTTTCTCGACGACCTTGTTTGTAGTTCTTGGTCTTAATGCTTGTTGTGATACGAGTGGGGCTAGCTCTAATTTCTGAGTTTCTGCGACTCTGCCTACGCTCGCTTACTGTACCAGCGGTCGCTTATCGTTTCCTACGGCCCAATCCGCCCGCAAAAGTCCAGCATCGTGCTGAAGATGACTAAATCCAGAAGAAATACTCCACATCCTGCTTGGCACCCGCCAGCCAAGCTTGACTACTTAAGTCTCTCTCATACCAACGACTCCGGATGATGCAGTTGTATGATGTTTCTTCGCAGCCGAAACACGTTTTGCTGCCGTATACTTTGAGTGTTTTCCTTGTGTATTGTACTGTATTACGTTGGATGAGATGGTGTTCTAATCTGGCATTCCAATGTTTTCAGGCTAAAGCACGCGGCACCTCGTGCTGTTACACCCAATGTTTTCAGGCTAAAGCAAGCGGCACCTCGTGCTGTTACACCATACAGCACGATATTATGCTAATTATGCATTGGTTCCCAAACAGTGGATATCGCGCACCATGAAACTGACAACCGCGACGGCCACAATGACCACGAGAACCACTGCACCAGCACCACCAGTCACCACCAGCACCACCAGGCACCACGAGCAATCACCACGAGCACCATATTTCGATGGCACGATGACCACGACGACCACACGACCATGACGACCACCACGACCACCAAGAGCACCACGAGCACCACCAGCTCCAGGAGCAACGGGACCACTGGAACACCAAGATCATCAGACCACTAGGACTAGGACCACTAAGTCCACCAGGACCACCAGCAGCAGCCCACACGGACGAGCCCGAGAAGCCTCATGGTGTGGCCCTGCCGGGATTCGAAACGCTTCGAACATTTGAGGGCACCACCCCCAACCACCAGTGGTTGGGTCCACAAGCTGGCTGCTGGACGGAAGGTGCCGCACACAAATTCGTTTCCCGACTTTTCGTGCGTCTCCGGAGAATACGGAGTGTCCACGGCGCCACAGCAGAGCCTCAGAACCGCCGGGTGGGCAGGATGCCGCCTCGCCCGCGGCGAATGAACCAATACTGCTTCACCCTGAATGTACGAACGTCAGGGACCACACTGCTTGGGGGAACCATGTTTGTCCTGCAAGTTGTGGACGGAATCTCTGCCCAGGTGGCTGCACGACAAGTACTTCGAGCTCCTTGAGGAAAAGCCCAGGTGCCGTATCTCCTCTCGAACATTCGGGCAGCTCTCACAGAGCTCAAATTTAAGCGCTTCACCTGCAGGGCCAAAGCACCTCTGGCGTGGTCCCGCGGTCAGGAGTTGCCGCGTTCTGGGCTAGCCATGAGTGCCCTGTAGCACCCGCAATCGCTAGACTGCGGACCCCGGAAGCTTCAGCTGTCTGAGCAACCTTCTCCTGCACTTATGCCTGTTTCCTCGCTGCTCTGCGCAGGATGGCGATCACGGCGATTGGTACAGTTCTGACTCGCGCCAGGCATCGAATTCGGAACTCCGAGCTTCCATTCGGCGTGGGGACGTGAGAATTTAGGAAAGCTCTGAAGAAAGCAGTGGCGTGTTGGCTCTGAAGCAATCCGATTGCAATTAGCCCCGGATGGCTTCTGACCTTCTCTGCAGGGCCGGGCGCGAACCCTGAAGACATGGATGCCGAAGATGCCCGAGTCGAAGGTTCCATCGACGTTGCAGCCTGGGTTCTTTCAGCATGACAGATGATAGATGGATGTTGAGCTGTGGGCTAGCTGCAGACATTCACAAACCCATATTGTTCGCGCTAGGCATGATTCTTGGCCAGGATCAATGGGAAGAGGATTGGGAAGACGACAACAAACGGAAGGGGAAGAAGTGGACCAGCGAGAAGTATGACAGCTACGAAAAGTACGACAAGCGCGACAAAGGCGGCAAAAGCGGCAAGTACAGCAAGTACGACGACTACGATGAATATGATGCGTCGGAATCATGGGACAGAGCTGCTTGCGGTTGCTTGTTGTTTAGCTTTAGCGTCCAACTTTCTTTGCACTGCGACAACTGACAGCATCGTCCATGGTTTAGCATCCATCTGTAGATCACAGCACATACACCAGGAGAGAGACAGAAAAGGCGGTTCGAACGGCAAGGACGCTTGGTCAGGCTGGATGCAACCCTGAACCTTCGATGCAAAGCATGCTTTCTCATTCGCAACACGAACAAGATGTGGTTGATGTCACGATTTCCGCGATTGTTATCATCGTCGGCCTTGCCTTTTGAGATTATCCTCAATCTGGTGACTAGTGTTTTTTTCTTGTTACCGCAGTAGTAGGTGTCTTGTGATTGTTGCAGCTGTTAATCAACATTACTACGATCACCATCGATGCCACACGACGCCACCGTACCGTCATCATTTCAATGTCGCCATCCATACGAAGGCTGCATCCCTAACAGTCTTCGTTCGGACCAACTGTGCTCAGCGAAGAGGACCCTTTTTGAGGCTCGACTCGTGGTTTGGAAGCTGCAAGCCTCCAGTAGCATCGTTACAGGCTCCTGCTGACCAAAGAGCGTCGACTTGATTGTGCTTTACGGCTTCCGGACTCGCCATCTCGTCGGCCACTCTGCGCCCTGCATCTGCCGCTTGCGAAGGTTTCGTCCCTCTCCGTGGGCGCAGCTTATCACCGTTTCTTTCTCAATGTCGCTATCTTCATCACGAATAGTGTTGTTGGCACATGAGTGTCGACCTCGTTATGATTTATCGTTCTCGGTATTGCTACAGGAGAGGAATATTTTGACGATGACCACATAGCGAAGAGGGTAGTGTTTAAGAGTGAGGCTCGTGCAGAGCTCGCGGCTTTCGGCGCTTCCGTTGGCTCTCGCCGCTTCGATTGCTCGTTCGGAGACTTTGTATGGGCGCACCTTCGTGCAAATGAGCCAGAAAGTGCTCTTGTGTTCGAGTCTTGTATCGAGGGTGGGAGACGTTTGGATCTGCTCGCAACTTTGAATTTGACCGCTCGTGCCATGCCAGAGCGTCGCGCCTTCATGCTGATTTCAAGCTTGTTCGCCCGGTCGTCTTTTTGTGTCATCGTTTTCATTTCTTTGTACTGTTTTTTCTTGTCATGCTTTATTGCTGCTAATTGTGGGTCGCTCAACCAGCATCATCTTCTTGCCAGTGTTCTTGTTTCTGATTCTGAGCTTTGCCGCCCTCTTTTTCGTTCAGCCCTCACCCGTGGACCTGACACCGCAGGTTGGTCTGCCGGCGGTGGAAAAAGCAGCGGCAAAGGCCGGCGGAGGGAGGCCGGCTGCTTGGATCGAGGAATTCTTTTTCCAGGGCAAACCGATTCTGGCAACTGTCGCTTGTCGCAAGAATTTGAATCAACATATTCAATTCGGCCTTCAGAACCGTTCTACGGAGCATTTATGATCAAACTTCGCCAGCATTGAAGTTTCAATTTCTCATTTTGTTTTTGAGGAGTGCGGAGGTAGAATGGCTTTCTTTGGTCGGAGCACCAAGCCTAGCAACTAAGCCGAGCCCCTAACTTCCGAGCCCCTGCGCTTAAGCCTCAGGGCCCTCAGCATGGTCAAAACTACATTCATTGAAGTTGAGCCCTCGCAGTCCATTCCCTACAGACCGGAAGGATCTACTACTAATGACTCTCTTGAGGCAGTTTGCCTTGGAGGCTTCTGGCTGCTAAGTGAGCTTCCTTTGGGCCCAGGCCCTGTTAGAGCAGTCGACAGTTGACTTACAAACAAGCCGCAACAAAGAGACCCACTCGGGGCGTTCCTTGTAAACTAGCCTGCAGAAACTGTTTGAGACCCGGGAAGTTTAGGGCAGGTGGTTGGTACGGTCGGCAGAGTTCATGAGGGATGTGTTTGTCGCGAAAGGCGCATGCATTTCTAGCACATCCCAAGTGACGGCAGCAATGAGGAGGAGTGGGAAGATGAGGAGGAGTGGCACGACGACCGCCCGGGCCTCCAACACACCACACTCGCAAAGGGCTTTTAAGACTCGTGTGTTGTCACAGCTTGTACCCGGGTCGTGCAAAGGCAAACTGAAGCTGTTCATCGCTAAGGATGGCACGCGAGCTCCAGCAAGAATGGATACAACAACGGTAGAAGCAAGGGTGGGCATTCGAGACGCGACGAAGGAGTGCGGGTATGCGATTCATACCCCTTTTTCTCCAGCTCTTGCCAGAGCTGACCTGCAGGAGATGACTGGGACAAGAAGCGTGGCTACGATGATTATGATTACGACTACGACTACGAGGAGTTGGCATGTCGAACCTTCTAGCCTGACCCCAGATTGGACCTGCACTAGTTTGCAGAGCTCCGAGAGACTGCAGCTTTCGTCTTCCAAGGTGATCAGGTCATATCAAGCAAAAGTGCATCAACATCTCTGTACATGTAGGTGTGTATGTATGTGCGTCTGTATGTATGAATGAACGTCTTGTATTGGTATTGGTCTTGGTCTTGGTGCTGGCGTTGATTTTGCATTGTATTTTGTCTTGTATGTTGTATTATATGTTGTGTCGTATGTCGTGTTGTATGTTGTACTGTATTTTGTATTGTACTTTGTTGCATGTTGTATCGTGTTTTGTATCCTTTATCTGGTGTTTTGTATTGCTGTTGTTTTGTATCGTATTGTACTGTACTGTACTGTACTGTACTGTATTGTACTGCATTGTATGGTATTGTATTGTACTTCATTGTATTATATTGTATGGTATGGTATTGTATTGTATTGTATTGTATTGTGTGTTATGATATGGTATTCTAGGGCATGGTGTGGTAGTATGGTTGTGTATTGTATGGTATGGTATGGCATTGTATGGTATGGTATGGTATGGTATGGCTTGGTTGTGTATTGTATGTGTGTATTCCCATGGTGTGAAGATGTACGGAGTGCGGTGTCATGATGGATTGTAATTGTATGGCTACCGTTCGAGCTATGGGCACGTCCCAGCCTCATCTTCCAGGAAGACCAGGGATGGAGAAAGCGTGACCACGGCGATCGCAGTGCAGGGACCTCGGAAGTGGCTTTGCCGGGATGCCGTGTGGCCGGTGCTCCCCCTTTGAAACCCACCCTATCTCACGTTGAACAAGTTGGGCCGCAGAATGCATGAGCCCGAAACACGGGAGCTAAGCCGCTAAGGGCCGGGATGATGGCCGTCGCCGCGGTTCCTGGCGGGAAGATCGTGAGGCGCCTCAAGGGGCCGCCTTGGGTTCGGGGGGAGTGGGAGCTCTGGAAAGCTGTGACTACGTGTAGGCTCGGCGATTTGTATAAGTCCCAGCGCGAATGCGGCATAGCCAGGAAGAGCCACGGCCCAGCCGGCGCGGAGTTACCCGGTACTCCCAGATGACCTTCTGATCCGACAATGCCTTGGCCCGTAGATGCCACCCCATGAGCAAGATCCCGACGACGGACGTTAGGTAAGGCAGCCACAGCAAGCTGGCTTTGCCCGCTTCAGACGGCGATGAGTCAAGCAGGGTAGAATACGTGGCTCGGACTTTGCTAAGATTTCAGACGGTAGCAGCCCGGCACTTGCAAGATTCACAGTTCGCTTCGGGAGCCGCGTAGACACCTGCAGCTGCCTGCTGAGCTTTCAGCAGCTTCAGAGACACTCGCCATACGAGCGTTTGGCACCTGCAAATGCCGAACCTTGAAGTGCGAGAGGAAAGCTTGCGTGCGGATCTTTTGTCGGGGCATAAACACTTCTGAGTACCGTTCCGAAGTCCACGGCTTGGAATTTCGATCCCAGCGAGTGAAGCCTTGCCTGGTGCTTTGCAGGGCTGTTGCTTGGAATCACCCGGTCGATGCGACCTGGTTTACAAAGCTGCGCTGCCTTCTGATGGCTTTGTGATCGACATTTGCAGGTGTGGCAAAGTGTATGCTTATGACGCGGACAGAATCGAGAAAGTTCATGTCTTGCAGAGTTAAGTTGCTTTCTTTTTTCAAGCAAGACAGTCATGTTCTCCATGGACCGGCTCCGCTGCAAAGAGCTCAGTGCCGTTGGGAGGTGCCAGAGACACCACCTTGCTCTTGCTGATTGACCTCCCCCCTCTCAGACTTGTTTCACTGCCATGCCATGTCAGTGCTACAGCCTGCAGTGCAGTACAATCTCGCAGCGGGCTCGCAGCTCCAGGGTGGCACTGGCTTTAGTGCTTCTGGCGCCAGTGTCTGCGAGCGACATGGCAGATGTTTCCATGATGGAAGCATTGGCCACAAGCAACGACTGGAGGGTTCGCTATGCGACTCCGCTGCAGTGGTTCCTTTGCCGACTGACTTAGCAGTCCAGACCTGTCAGGAAAACTTCGTCCGCCTCCGGAACATGGGTCCAAAGGTTCTTGCCCAAGAAGCGGATGCCTTGGAAGGCAAGGCCTGAAAAGCCGCTGCACCGCAGTCACAACGGGTACTTCATGTTCGAACCAGTCGGTCACGTTTTGCGTGAGCAGAGCATAAATCAGAATCTGCAAGATAGGAGCCGAAAACACAAAGGGTAATTCCAACTGCCCCCAATCCCGAGGCCTGCATAGGCCCAGTTTTGCCCACTGCTGCATGCACTGACTCACTGCACTTGCAGCAATCGGCCCAAGCAGAGCGGGGCCGTCACGATAGGGAATATTCGTGGTTAATTAGCTTAAATCGCTTACGGTTGAGGGTCTGTTTTGCAGGTCCTAGCTGCGCACTGTAATCGTAGCACAGCATGAGTATATTTCGTATCAGATTCGAGAGTTGAAAAATTCGCGGTGATGGCCAACGCAATCGGGGCGGAAGCAGTGCAGGCACTGCGGGTCGGGAATAGCTGTTTCGGAACCGCTGCGTCTCTAGAGTTTGTTTGGGCACTCGGGAGTAGTGGATGGCATTGTCCCGAGTCCCTGAGCAGGCTGTTCTGGATGGCTTCCTGTCGCCGAAGGCTTGTGAGTACGAGCTACAATTCCAATCTGTATCATTGTCTGCTCGATTTTTACATCCTGATTGTGTGAGGTTGCGCTGCATAGGTTGATCTCTTTGCTTTACCTATAGTGACCTAGTGAGAGTTCCGCGTCGCAGTGTTGTCTCTGCACTTAGGCCAGGTCTGCCAGGCACCGAAACAGGGTCACCACCACAATTGTGACAACAGCAGCAGCAGCAGCAGCAAGAAGGACAGCAACAACCACCACGAGTGCATTTCAAGGAACGGATGAGGCTGACCCGGGCCGGCAGCAGGGTTTGGGCATGGAGGCACTCGAAGTCCCCATGTGGAGCCAGGCGGAGGAGATCCTCGCGAGCCTCCGGACGCTTGCAGGGCTGTTGAAGACAGCTGGGGAGGAGGCTCGAAGTTTCGATTGGCTGAAGTGCGGGGTGGTAGACCTGTGAAGCCGACCTCTAAATTTTGGCTAAATTTTGCATGTGACGAGAGTTGCAGCTGGTGAGGCTTCTGACGCTGCCCCAAGCCCGAACTCCAAAGCCTTTTGAGGAGGATCGGCGGGAGGTCGTCTCACTCCTCTCACTCCTCGAGCGGGCATCTGCGCGTGCAGCCAGTCGCCAGGACAGTGCTGCCGGTGCGATTGCTATGGTTGTGAATGTCTTGTTGATGTCTAAACGTTCTGTCTGGTGGAGTCTTCTTCTTTGTTATCTTGTTAACTCTTAGTATGAAATTCCTCCGAAATACGGCCAACAAATGCTAAGGCAAGAGTATACTTTAAAAGTCCTTTCATTGAGTTCGTGGTTAAGGTGTGATTACAGTTCCTGCGTTGTCATCATGACTCGTTCCGTCAAGGTCGCCACAGCCAGCACTGCAGGATGCAGCACTCCTCGTCATGGTCTTCGTCCTCCTACTGCTGCTACTACTACTACTACTACTACTACTATTACGACGACGACGACTACTACTACTACAACAACAACTACTACTACTACTACTACTACTACTACTAATTATTACTACTACTACTACTACTACTACTGCTGCTACTGCTACTGCTACTACTACTACTACTACTACTACTACTACCACTGCCGCTGCTACTACTACTGCTACTACGACCACTACTACTACTACTACTACGACAACTACTACTACTACTACTGCTACTGCTACTACTACTACTACTGCTGCTGCTGCCACTGCTGCTGCTACTACTACTACTACTACTACTACTGCTGCTACTACTACTACTACTGCTCCTACTACTACACTGCTGCTACTGCTGCTGCTGCTGCTGCTGCTACTACTACTACTACTACTACTACTACTTCTACTACTACTTGCTGCTGCTGCTGCTGCTGCTGCTGCAAAGGCCACCAGCGGCGTTACAGCATACTACAACCAGTAATTTGCCAACAGTTTCACTTTAAGGGTAGTAGCTGTGCTATGTAACGGAATTGTTCTGCAGCTAGCCAAGAAATGACGATCTCGGACAGAATGATCGTACAAATTATGCTAAATCGCTGGTGTTCTTGCTAGCGTGGGACATAGCGCCATGTTTTCAAGCGCGGTGACTCTTGCTGTCTCTAACTCGAATGTGCACCTTGTTAAAGTGTCTGTGCCCTTGTTGCCGGCAAAGTGTATTCTATTACGGTTGCTGCTCTTGCCGGCATTGTTGTTGTTGTTGCTGCTGCTGCTGCTCTGCTGCTGTTGTCGTACTCGCTTGACTATTGTCGTTGTCATTGCCGTCTTCGTTGTTATGAGAAGGGCGTTTGCTGCTTGGTTGTTGTCGTCGTCGCGCGATGGATCTAGCTGCTGTTGCTACTGTCTCTGTTGCCGCTGCAACTGCGGAGAAAACTAAAGCTGCTGAACTCAACCTTGCCTGCGAAGGAACCGACAACTTTGTTGTACTCGTACCAAAAGGCTCTCGATGAAAGAAACCCTAAACCCTAAACCATAAACCCTAAACCGAATGCCTTCACGTCGTGTCCTCGACAAAGAAATGCTGCAATTTCCACTCTGCAGGCCAAGCTGCTTGTGACAATGCTCACCATGAGGTTTAGGGTTTAGGGTCCCATCTCTCATAAAAACCCTAAACCCTATTGACTCATCTCTGAACAGGCAGGTTCTAGCATCGCCGGGCCTTCCAACCGACAGATCATCTCGAAGCTTGGCTGCAAGAGCCCTGAGACCAAGATTTCTTTGGGATGCATACAAGTACAAACACGTATAAACAAATTTCTACATATACTTACACATACATGTATGTATGCATGCACATGTGTAGTACGTGTGTATGTATGTCTGTATGCATGTATGTATGTAAGTATGTATGCATGCATGCATGCATGCATGCATGCATGCATGCATGTACAACACATCTGTAAATACATGTGCATATATACAGCATTTAACTAGAACGTGATTACCGTGATTATATATATATATATATCATGGAGAGGGAGAGAATAGTTGGCATGTGCCTATCTGTCTGACTTCATAAACCGTATATGGCAACACTGTCAGAAGGATTTAGCGCCCATACAAGTCTGCAGGTAACACCCGCCCGGAGAAGTCTGGCTATACACGTCATCATCGGATCGAGGTGTGTTGTAGCATTGCCTGAAAAGGCATACCAGGACCCACTATACGAGGACTTGAAAGAGTGAGACCAAGAAATGGCTGGAACATGTGAATGTGAGCTTGACCTGCCTCCCTCTTCCATACAACTTGCACATACAAATACCAGCACTGAAGCTGCGGTGCCCTGTAAACCCTTTAAAACGATGCGAGTTAAGCGCAGCCAAGCAACGGGAGCTGGCCTCTACCAGGCCGAGAGTACTCACGAACTCCTGTCGGCGTGCAGACGTTCGAGTCCTTGAGCTGCCTGCCTTGCCTCCTCCGCTCCCACCCGTTCCTTCCTAGGCATACCGGGTCAATGCCAACTCCTGGATGGCCATGCCCCGAACATGCGTAGTCTAAGGTGGTCTAGCCGACGTTTAAAAAATGTTGCAGCTCGCCGAAGACCACGTCCCTACACACATATGCCTACTTAGCTGAAAATGAACGGTCAAATCCTTTTGCAATCATCGGCGTGCCTGATTTTGAAGGTTTGGCCCTTGACACAGTTCGATGAGCAGCGTCAATGCTTGACCTGGGCTCACATCTAACAAGTACTGTAGACCAGTACCCGCAGCCGGCTTTGGGCGGTCTTAAACGCAGTCACTCAGCTGTCATTTGCTTCGAGTAAGTCCTTATCGGCGCGGCAGACATGGACCGCAATCGCCGCTCATTACTTTGACTTGTGATATGTTGAAGAAGCCCATATGGCATACAACAAAGAAGTGGTTACAGGTATGCAAAAACCAATGAGACTAGACTCTTAATATAAAGCTTTAGAAACACTGAAAGGCAGCACCCCATGCAAACGTTCCACTACAAGTTAGAAGCATGTTAGAACAGAAGCCGTCGTCTCTTCGACCATGTTCCGTTACCGGACGTCGGAAGAACAGAAACATCCGCAGCTACACAGCAATCACAGGCCCCTATCTGCAGACGTCACTGAAAGTCGCCCCTTGAACGTGCCTCGGGGCTTTCATTCGTATTGTGTCTTGGGGGAACCCAGCTCTACTGCCAAGATAAACCCTCAACCCTAAACCCCCCAAAAAGCCATGAAGCCACAGAAGCCCCAAGCCCCTCAGCAAGCAGCCAAAAGGCAAGACAATGCTAGAAGTCTAAAGCAGAACTGGGTTTCGGGATATGTTATACTGATAGTCATAGTTACATATGGGCCATAAACGAAAACTGTTCCTGCATAGAGAACGTAGTAACCCTGTATTGACAGCAACCTGACCGGGAGCCAGACTGAGGCACTCGATTTCCTCGACCATCATGGTATCTCCGCCTTTCGGATCCTGGAGATGACAAGTAGGCTAGGGTTTGTAAGGGGGGTTAGCGTGTGTACAGGTTCAGGGTTTATGAGGGCTAGGGTTTATGAGGGCTTGAGGGTTATAAGGGTTTCGACTCTCACACTCGGGTTTAGGGTGTACCACACCCTGGTACTTATAAGAGCCTTTCCTTTGCTATCCTGCCTAGCCAAACATCACGGAAAAGAGTGTGCTACTAGAAAATCATCTCCGATTCGTCGGGCTTGGTGACTGAATTATGGCTCACGCTGCAGAACATCAGCGCACCATTCCACCCATCACACATCTGCAAAACAGCGGCTACGATGCGGCACGGCTATTTTCCGAACGCTCCACCCACAAACCCCACAACTCATAAGTATCCGTTGCCTTGGCCAGCTGAATCAATAACCGCGAGGTCTGCTCCAGGACGTCGCAAGAGCGGCTCGAACCCGACTGAGAATGCAAATGCCTCACGTTTGTTGGCGGGCTTCCGGGTTTACTACGCAGGAGGGTACGAAACATAGCAAGAAAAAAGCACGGTTGTGCAGTTCGTGCGCGGGTCGGAACTATGATCGTGCTATGACCTCGCTGTTAAGGAAGAGCTTTCCGACGCAGCATCTGACGGGTCTCCATCTCCTGTCCATCTTCATAACATAACGGCCAGTGAATAAAGGAGAGAGCACGGCAACAGTCAGAGTTCAACCTGAACTTCCAATGCCCCCCAAGCACCTGAGCCCACACACGTTGGTATTTGCCCGTG